TCTCTCTCATGTGCCAGGTACTAACCTGTGAAGATGGCGCTGGGCTGCAGGTACCTCGACGACGAGCTGGAGCTATGGCGCTGCAGGTAAGTCTCCCTGGCCTCCGCCCAATCTCTATCTCTCTCCAGTGCTACTCTGGCTCCTAATAGCGCCCAGCGCTGAAGGCTACTGCTAACGCTACTACTACTACTGCAGCACTCCTCCAGAGTGCTGCTGCCGAATCCTGAAGGGTACCTCCTGCCTCGTGAACTGCACGTGAAGTGCCTGGGAAGTCCCTATGAGCTACCTGCAGCCTGCAGGGCGGGCCAGTCTTATATAGTGCTGGCCCGTCCAGGAGGCTGCTCTTGCCAATGCCAAAACGTGCCAGACCCTGGCGTTGAAGTTCAAACAAAGGATGTCTTGAAAACAGACCCAAAATGGCATGTGCTAAAACCCTGGTCTGGTGCCTAAGTTTCAGGGCAGGTCGATCTTATGAGGGCCTGAAAATGGCCCTCCGTTTCAGGCTGAAAAGACTCGGGGCCTGGAGGGCCCTGTTTTAGGCTGAAACGACACAGGGCCTGTAGGCCCTTGTTTTCAGGCTTTCAGGCTGAAACGACCCAGGGCCCGAAAATGGCCCTCGTTTGCAGGCGCAGCATGTAACAACCCCCTCTCCTTATGAAGTCAAGCCCGGTTGAGGGCGAAGCTGACGATCTGAAGGTGGAACCTGGACGCGGGTGCGGTGTGGAGCCGAAGATACCGGCTTGCCTTGCATCTTGCGTTCGTAGCGTGCGAGAACATCTGGAGCTGTTGCTTGGAGTTCCGCACGGGTCAACCAACGGTCAGCTTTGTGGGTGCAGTACGCAAAGTGTACTAAGTATTCGGTCGGTCTGTTGCCGTAGCGTCGCTGGGAGATGATGTTGCCGACCTCTGGAAAACCGTCCATAGAGGGTGGGTCTTGTGGTCGTCGCTCGGGAAAATCGTCATGTTCCGCTGGCGTGTATAGAACCAACTTGGAGCAATGAAAGACCAGGTAGACGGGGAAGTGGGCGGGCACCTCAATGACGAAGGATGGTCCTTCGGGTGCATCCCCAGCGGGTGCCACGATCGGCCAGGGCCCCATTCATTTCGGGAGGAGCTTGAGAGAGATATCTTGTTCAAGGCTGAACTCCGCGGCGGAAACCCAAACGAGGTCGCCGACGCGGAATGGACAAGGAAGACGCTGGCGATTGGCTTGTTGGCTCATGCGTTGCTGCGTCTTAGCCATCTGGTCGCGTGCCTTGACAAGTAGCTCTTGCAGCCGACGCAAGAAAAGAAGATGGTCGTCGCTCTCGACCGCTCGTGGAATGATTGTGTCCAACGGAGAAGTGATTGGCGAGCCGTGCTCGAACTTGAAGGGCGACATCCCGATAGCCGAGTGGATGGACGAGTTGTATGCTAACTCGACATCCGGCAGCCGCTCAACCCAATCCTTTTGGTCGGGACGGATGAGAGTGTGAAGGAGAACCTGTGCGGTCTGATGCGCCCTCTCCGTTTGGCCATCGGTTTGGGGGTGGCGAGCCGAACTCGGCTTGAGAGATGAGCCCCATCGTTTGATGAGTGCCAACCAAAAATACGACATGAATCGAGTGTCGCGGTCGCAGACGATTTCCTTGGGGTAACCCTTGGTTCGAATCCAACCGGCGTAAAGAACCTCAGCCAACTTCGGTGCCTTGTCATGATAGCGGCAAGGCAAAAACATGGCGAACTTGGTGAGTCGGTCGACCACCGTGAGAATCCCATCCACACTGGTCTTGTGCTTGGGGAACGGCTCGGTAATGTCCATGGCAATCGCTTCCCTCCGACGCAAGGGGACCGGTAATGGTCGCAACCCGCCGTACGGACGATGGTTGCGGGATTTGTAGCGTCGGCAAACCTCGCTTGACTCGCAATAGCGTGTGACGTCGCCGAGAAGGCCGGACCACCAAAAGCGCTTGCGAAGTCGGCCAATCGTTCGATTGACTCCAAAGTGTCCGATGGCGGGAGCATCGTGGAACTCGCCAAGAAGCCGTGTACGCAAGTGAGAGTCACTCGGTACGCAAAAAAGGTCCTTCCCCCGTGTGTGGACAAGCAAGTACCCCTCTTGGATCTGGTAGTGAGAAGGCGCCGGATTAGGAGAGGAGCAATTCGCATACTTCTCGAGAAACTCGGGGTCGGGTTGGTAGTCGCGGATGAAGCTGTCCCGCAGGTCGTCGTCGATCTCAAAGGTCGAATAGACTGCGGCACAATGATCCGGACGCCATGAAAGAGCATCCATGAAATGGTTCGGCTTCCCTGAAATGTGATCGGGAAAGAAGTCGAATTGGTCGATGAAAGCCATCGAACGGGCGATCATGCTATTGACGGTGTCTTGGGTCTTGTAGAAGACCAACGGATTGTTGTCCGTTACCCATCGGAATTGACTTCGACCAAGGAGGAAGTGCCGCGACCGCTTGAGCGCGTGGACGAAGGCTAGGAGCTCCTTCTTGCGTGCATCATCAATGGAGTGCACGACGGGCACTTTCTTGCTGAAGTACTCGATCGGGTGTCAGTCCACGCCATCGTGTTGTTCGAGGACGACACCAATGCCATAGCCGGACGCATCCGTAGTGACGCGCGTTGGCAATAGCGAGTCGTAGATTCGCAAGACCTCTGCGGACAATAATGCGGCTTTGAGAGCCAAGAATGATTCCCGCGCATCATCCCGGAAGTGGAACGACCGATCCTCGCATTGAAGCTTGGTCAAGTGGGCCGCGATCTTCGAGTATCCCTTGATAAAACGTTGGTAGCAGTCGGCAAGGTCAAGGAACGAACGAACATCCGTGACGTTCCGTGGCTCCGACCACTCTTGGATGGCTTGAATCTTGTCCGACGAGGGACTGATGCCCTTCGGTGTGACGAAATGGCCCAAGTATTCCAACTCTTGTTGGACAAATTCGCACTTGTCGCGGCAAAGCGTCTCCAACACTTGTCGAAGGTGCTCAAGATGATCCTCCAATGTCCGGCTATAGACGAGAATGTCGTCTAAATAGACCAGCACGAACGGGTCCAACATCGCGGGGAACTCGTTGGTCATTGTTGCTTGAAAGGTCGTCGGGGCATTGGTGAGGCCAAAAGGCATGACCACCCACTCAAAATGCCAGTACCGTGTCTTGAACGTGGATTTATAGCGATCGATCGACTGGATCGAAATTTGATGGTATCCTGATTTCAGATCCAACTTAGAAAAGTACTTCGCGCCACACAATCGCTCAAGGAGATCGTCAAAACGAGGAAGAGGCCCCACATTCTTGACGGTTTGCGCATTGAGCTTGCGGTAGTCAATGCACAATCGTAGATCCTTGTTCTTCTCCCGTACGAAGAGAACTGACGCTCCATATGGGGAGCTACTAGGGCGGATCCAGCCTTTGTCCAACAAGTCATCGAGCCGCGCGCGGAGGACCGTAAGCTCCTCCTCGCTCATGTGGTAAATGCAACCTTTCGGCGGCACRACACCGGCCTCAAGAATGATCTTGTGAGGGATCGGCCGATCCGGCACCACACCGGTAGGTGACTCGAAGATGTTAGCGAACTCGTCAAGCAACTGCACCACACGGGGGTCTGAAGACAAGTCCGTGGGGGAAGAGTTGGCTATCGCGACGGTCCGTATGAAGCATAGGCCTATCTCGTCGGGCTGCTCGTAAGTGCAAGTAGCCCGTAACGACTTGGCCGTCACCACTTGGCACGGGATCGAAGGGTGCAGAAGAGGAATAATACATGGCACTTCGGCGCCGAAGGCGTGTCGGACGGTAAGAGTCCGCCAGTGGAAGTTGACCGTGTGATCGACACTTGCAAGCCAAGGCATTCCCAAAATGATATTGAAGTCCGTGTCCAAAATGTCGAACGTCACCAGTCCGCATGCATGAGGTGCGAAATACACCGGTACGACCTCGATGTAACGGTCAATAAGTTGTTGCGTCCTTCCGTCTGCCAACTTGATTGCCGTCGGGTTTGCCTTCCTCCGAACTTGTGCGCCAAGGCCAACTCTTTGCATAAAGGCTTGGCTCATAAAGTTGCGAGACGGGCCGCTATCCAGCAAAGCGTTGCAGGACGCTTGCCCAACTTGGATGCGCACATAGAGGAGCGGTGCGTTGTTGTCATCGTACTGCTGCTTGCGAAACTCGCGGGCCACCTTGGTAACATACGCAAGGATGTCCCCCACCGCAGCTTCGTCATCCTTTGGCGAAGTTGGTGGTGCATAGAAGGATAGATACATGTGGAGATGAGCGCATAATGCTACGCATTGCGGTCCCGACAAGCAGCCCGTGGTCGGGAGAGGAAGCCATGCGAAATCCTCCGACGTGAGCAGGTCCAAGACCTCTATGTTGAACTCGCGTGCGGAATCCCATGAAGAACCACTTGAAGACGATAAGTCGTCGCTGCCGGACGGAGAAGATGCCGCACACACGTCTTGTCCTTGAGCATGAGTACCCAGCATAGGAAGAAGAGGACTATTGACTTCCGCATGTGCCTTGGAACGAAGGGCGGTCACCCGCGGAGCGACCGGTTTCGAAGGCGTCGAGAGTGCCGTCGATTCACTCCCGACGGTGCTCAATTTCCCGATTTGCCTTTGCCTTTCAACGGGCAGCCCACTGTGTCGTGGAGATCGCAGTTACACCACAGACAATAGTGGAATCTCGTGCGTAGCTTGTACGCACGTTCGGAGAGAGTGGGACCATGGGGCTGGAGCTGCTGCGCCAGGCCCGGGGATAGATGTGGTGTTTGTCTTCGTCTTGCCGCGTCCTCGGCCCTTGCCGGGGCGGCCACCATCCTGGGCGGCTGCGAGTCTGTCCCCTTCATTGGCGGACACGGCCTCGCTAGAAGGGTCGGTTGGCGTTGCCGCTGCGACCACGACCACTTTCGGCCGATGCTGATCTCTGCTCGGGCCTATCGCAGACGAATGGTTGAGGTTCTTGGCCTCCTTGTTCGTGACAATGATCTGCGCGGACTTGTCAAAAAGCTCTGCCGTTGTCGTCAGGGTGTCCTCGACGTTAGTCAAGGCGTTGCCCAACGCCGGACACTAGCTCGTGATGAAGTAGTGTTTGACGGCCTTGAAGCCCATCTGAATGTCTGGGACGGATCTCAAGCGTTGTTACTTGGCAATCCAGTCAACACTTGGCAGCGTGCCTTGTTCGAAGGTTAGCAATTTGTCCATTGCCTTGATCTCCGGCAGCTCTACTTGGAACCGCTTATGCCACGCCGCCTTTAGATCATCCCAGCTGATCTTGGTGTACAAGTCGGCAGCTACCACCCCGTACTTGGACAAGAGATTGTCCAACCATGCTTGGCACGCGCCCCCCGACCGGGAGTATAAGTACGCGTGTTTCTTGTCCTTGCTGACGTGATGTAGCTGCAACTTGAGTTCAAACTTGCGGAACCGCGGAATCGGGTCTGTCTTCATCGAATCGCAGAAGATCTCCTGACCATCGAACTTTGGAGTCGTCTCGCGCGATGCCGAACTCGGGTTGGTGGCGGCAGCACAGATCCGCTGCTCCAGTTGTTGCGTGGCGGTTTGCTGTAGCTGCACGCTGTCCTTAAGGGCTCTGATGTCGACCTCCAATGCATTGAGGTGATCGGAGGTGTTGGAGGAGCTGGCATCGGGGGTGGCGACAGGTCGTTGCTGCAGCTGCTGGAGGCGGCTGTTGACTTGATCAACCGTTTGTGCGTCCGAACAGCGTCATCGAGGCTGTGGATGTCCTGCTGTGCAATGCACGTTGCCAGGAGATCCGTGAAATGGGAGAGGAGTAGAGCGTTGTTGCTTTCACTCTCTTCCATCTTACCATTCTCGGCACTGCCATTGTGAGCAAAGCTCGCTCTCCGTTGAATATCTTCTCGCGTCGTTGACTTTGTTCTTCATCGGCAGCCTTTGCTGCTGCCTCGTCTTGCTGGCGCTGCTGTTCGATTGCCAACAGACGTGTCTTCTCGGCGTCCTCTGCCTTCTTCTTCTCTGCGGCTGCTACCTCATCCGCCCGTTTCTTGGCTTCGGTAATCAAAGCCAGCATCCGGGCCTGATAGGCGCCGGCCGTTTCCCCGGACTTCTGATCCATGCCGGCTGTTTGTAAGCGCGTGAGCATAGACCAGGCCGGAGGACTGCTGACGTGGCACTCCCTGCTGCTGACGTGGCACTGCTTGGCTGCTGACGTGGCGCGGCTGTCGGCTGACATGTCCTGCTGAAGTGGTGTGCTGTCGTGGCCTGCTGATGTGGTCTGCTGACGTGGCAACTCACCAATGCCGCCGCAGGGGGTACCCGGAGACAGATAAAGAAGATCAGAGGGGGCAACAACATACGTGGGGGTGGGTTGATCGCCCAGATAAGGAGCCACTAATCAAAAAGAAAAGTTTGAACTTTGCAAAAAAAATTTGAGAGAAGAAAATACTCTTTTGCAAGTTCAGTAGGCCTCCCAATTCCCCCTGAAGTGCGAAATTACCAATGAGGAATTTTTTTTTTCGAACTTTCAGACTGCAAATGATTATCCGATAAAAGAATTCCGAAAAAAAAATAAAAAAATTCGGAATTACTCAGATGAGAGTACGAGCAGTTTGGAAAATGGTAACTGCAAGAGGGATTTCCCGTACCGTTAAAAAAAAAAACAACGAATTTCGGAAATTGAAAAAAATAATTCCGGATTTCCAAATAACGGGAAATCGCAAAAGGAATCGACATTTTCGAAAGAAAGATATTCCGGATTTCCAACAACGAAATTTCGAATTTTCAGAAGAGAAATGAAAACGGAAATTTCAGGTGTTGCGCTATTGCGATTTTCCAGAACCGAAATAGCGGGAAAACAAAATCCAAGAAAAGAAAAAACAAATCGATTTTCGGCAGTTAGGTCAAAATTGCGATTTTGGGGGCTAACCAGTATGCTCTAATCAATGAATCAATCAAAACTAATTAACTACTTAGTCCCCGCACACCTATGAAACACCCGCGGACGCGTCCGCGGGTCCGATCTCGGATGGCGGACGCAGACGGGTCTGCATCCGCGGCCGACCTGGTCCGCACCGCGGACCCATTTTTACCAGAATTTTCCTGAATTAAATAATAGGTTAAAAAAAAAAAAAAAAAGGGGTTGTAGGGAATTTTAAGCCCTACAACCTAGGTTACCAGAGTGGCCCGGGGTCACTTGCCCGGCCGGGCCAAAAAACATAAAAAAAATAAAAAATAAAATATATAGTTTTAGTTTATTTTGTATTTTAAATTTAGTAAAGACTTTCGATGTGACCCTGAGGCAAAAGTTGTTCAG